ACACCCCAGATCCCACTGAACCCAAATTTGGAGGGTTCAGAGCTGTCTAGGACTTTTCAAGTGAAGCCCTACAACCGCAGATGCTGAAAGTCTTGGACGCCAATTCCCGGAAGATAGGCCCAGGGTAGCACCTCAGCATCATCACTTGCCGATGTTATTCCTCTGAGTCTCTTACATACAACTGATTTTAGCATATGGGTAGTTCTCTAAAGTGGGGTCCCCTTGTGGGTTCCCTTTTTATCAGGGTGCCGTACTATATTGGGGACCTAAAACGGGACCCTAATGTTGAGAACTACCCGTATACCCCTTCAAACCCATTTCTAAGTATTGAGGCCCCTACATTGCGGTGTGCACAGCACCGTCACTGTTTGCAGCCAACCCCAAAAGCCGAAAGCCCTGAGCGCGACCTCAAGAGTGCGAACCCGCCTTGCTTGATAATCAAGGCTTTTCGGGAGATGATTCTCAAGCCCAAAACCTGACCCCTAAACCTTCAAGCCCTGAACCTCGAACCATGTTCTAGGTGTTTTCTTGTGTCCTATTCTGTTTGATGCATCTGCATCTGTTAAGGGATCTGGGCACGCAAGCTGTCTCTGAGAGCCACAGGGCTGGAGTTCATTGGCTACTCGATGTTGCATGTTCTGGGTTCCAAACCCGTTAACCCTGCACCTTATCCGGTGCAGCCCAGGAAATCGTCCCGGCCTGGATGTGCTACGAGCGCTCCACTGGCTGCAAAGAGCACGAAAAGAGGGTTTGTTCCGCAAAGCTTCTAGAAGATCTGTATGCGGGCTCGATAAAGGTTCCTTACCCATAGGCTCCTAGATATCATCTGGGTGTGGAATTAGATAGGAGGATCCACGTCTGCAGAAAGATTGACTTATAAGACCATGAATGCAAAAGTGGCCTGCCAAGGGATGCCGATCTCATCGGCCTGTTTTTTCCAAAGGCACTGCCACCTGTCGTCGGATGCACTATAAATTACGAATTTAAGCATACCAGCTGTTGCTCATGATGCATCGACCATCCTTGGATGCTCTTGATCAAACAGAATCTGTTGGTCACACACGCATGCACACTAGTTATTCGAATCGACAAGTAGCGTGGCATAAAATCGCTGAAGAATGGCCTTCTCCACCGTTGCACGATGGCACCTTTGGGCAAGGCCTCGGTCGAGACATCTACATCAACTCATGTGCTCATGGATCCACGAAAGCGCTTGCTTGTCCAGTATCAAACGAGCTACCCTTTAACTGCCCCATAAAATCTTCATCCAGATATGTGTGCCAATATCGCGGGTTGGTGCCTGCAGTAGTACATGTATGCAGCACAGAATTCGAAGGAAGGCGGTCCCACAAAGATGCAATCACACACACCCTGAAATCATGCATCCTGGTCACGGGTGGCTTCGGCCATGAAGCCAATCTCTGACAGCCCCTTGCATTCCGAAAGGTTGAGAGATCTAGATTGATTATTGTTACGGGGTTTAGGGTTCAGGGTATATAGTATAAATCATCCAAGACACATGGTGTTTGGGTTTCAGTGGCCAGAGTCGCTCACTGCATTCCCCAGCCCTCTTTGCCAAATAGAAGTAGGCATGCAGAAACTGGTCCTCAGAAATCTTTGGGGTTTGGGGTGCAGCTTCCGGCAACAGTGCACACAAAGGCCAGAGTGATGCAGTGAAGTATCAACCTTTGCACGAAAATCTTTTGCCTGCTCGTCCGTTAAGAAGCGGCCATGATCCTCCAGGAAATTGAAGATATCCGCCAGCCACACCCTCGAGAGAGAAGGTCAGCTACACATGGTGTACGGTATACATGTATATATATGTACGTATACGTATTCAAATACATGTACATGGTATACGTACATACTCAGGGCAAGCAGTCATGCACCACATATAATTCTTGTATATTGCAGCTAGGCAACACACAGCGAGAAACCCAAATAAATCTCTCATCATCAGCTCCAGCAACATTCAGCTGCACATCCTTCCGAATCCTGGCGCACGTGGTGGCCAGCCATGCGATGATCACTCGAACCTGAACAGCAAGCCACTCGGATGGAATCCAGACTAGACCATAGACCCCACCCCGAACCAAATGGTGTAAGCAAGTATCGTTGTGACCCTTGGCAGCAAATTCCGGGTAGCCGGTGACCACATTGCGCAATAACTTGGTGCAGAATTGGGGCTGGCTGTGCCTGGGATGTAGCTAGGGTACAATTATTTGAAGAATCTTGAATAGGCTACAACCCAAATTTGCAAATTGATTCCTGCACTTACAAGCTGAGTGTCGGGATCCGGTTGGCCTTGCACCATTGGGCAAAGTCATGGTATGCATGTTGTAGGCGAGCACTCAAGTTGCCCCGTCCCCCTGGAGGTTGCCATAAGTCCTTTCAGGGATCATTATAGTTATTAGCTATAGGGTACCGGTTTAGTTATTATATAGGGCCGGGTTTAGGATCGGAAGTCCCACCTTCGATTTGAAGAGCTCATACATTGCCGATGCCGCTACCCACTGAGCAATACCGAGGTTTATGGTGTGTAACGTACACCATTTGACCATCATGTGGTTGAAATTGATGACCTTCAATAGCATACCTCGGTACTCATCCCCTAACCCTAACCCAATCTGGCTACAGGGCTGAACTATAGCTAGGTTATTATACAATAAAAATACAGATAGGTCTACTAGTAATATTCGAACATACTTTGCTCTCCATTGTCCCCGGGCTTGCACAAATTTGCAAAGCTGATAGCATCACGTCGCTGCTTCACATAGGGGGCTTGCAAAAAATCGGCCTTTCTGGCCATGCAGTGATGGCAGAGGTGTGCCGAGGACCAGCCTGAGGTCAGCTGTAGTACTTCTTTGTGCCAAAGCCAGTCCCCACGAAACTCTGTGGTAGCCAAGCGAAGATAGCTGCCCGGCTCAACCTGAAATATTGGATGCAGGTTCTCCCCCGAAATAAGTTGCCCTCCGATCAACTCACGTAGTTTCTGGGACACATCATAGCCATGATCATCCAGGTTATCAGGCCAATCATGCACATCCGGATCAGGCTTGAAGCCATAGAAGCAAAGGTTGAGGGATAGCACGATCTTGGCATTTGTTCACATTCTATTCTGGAGTACGAACTAGTAACGAAATGACCTCGGGATCTGAGTTTTAGCCGAGCTTCGTGGCGGAGGAAAGCCTGGAGAGTGGCGAAGCCTGTGCTGAGTGCCTGATGTAGTGCACACACATATATTCACATGACGAGATTGGGGTCATTAAATTTAGGTTGTTGCAGACACGGCACACAGCGTAGCACAAATAAGACATATCTTCCACGGCGCTCACCCAAGACGAAGTTCAAGCTGACAGCAGTTAATTTCTGGCCACCAGTAGTGAATCTGAAATCATCACCATGTAAACCTACAGGGATGATCCTATCAAGGCCCACCGTGGAGTGCTGGCCTGGATGCCACGGCATCCCAGTCTCCTCCACATTCTCCCAGTATTCCAACACCTTCTGTGGCGCTCCAGTGATCTCGTGGAAATCTTTCGTTGATAAACCATCCAGCAGCCAAGGCAGCAGCTCATGAGGCAGTATCACTGGAAAGCTCCTGGGCATGCTGTTGGTTGATATCGGGGTGCTAGATAGATTAAGAACTCGAATTAAAAAAATCGGATATACATCATGCGTGCTAGTACGTATTATCTGTCCTCTTCAGCACAACTTCGTTGCCCTCGACCATTTCGGTGACGGGAACCCGGACATAGCGGATGGGGACCTATTGTCGGGATTATGTTTTCTAATTTAATTTAGGGTTTAGGGTTCCTCGTTTGGGGCTTATAGTTATATAGCTACAGGGTTAGTTATGTGTTTCGGGCTTCGGATTTGGGGTTCAGGGTTTTGGTTAGGCTAGTTAGGGGCCTAGCCTTGGCATTCAACTGTCGAAGAATATCACGTTCGATATTTGATGAGCGTACACCAGCTGCTCCAGCTCCAGCTAGTCTTTGAAGCTTTGCAGGAGGGGGCAGACCACGTTGCTCCATATCCTGCATGTGTTTAGGGTCGAGGGTCTACTAGGGCACTAGGGCTTAGGCTTATAGGGTGTGGGTTTGTCGACGTCCTTGCAAGCATCATCGGCACATTGACGGGCAGAAGTAAAGCTTATGTCCTGCAGGGTGACCCGTCTCTTCCCCACCAACCCCCAAACCTGAAAAGCCCCTGCCCTAAACCCTAAAGCCCAGACTTTAACCCACACCAAAACCCAAACCCAAAACTCACCAGTCCCCCTTGGATACCATGGTGATGAGGTTCTCCGCCAAGCTGGATTTGGCACCTGCGCATCGAATATTGCAACTGGCACTGCAACCTAGTGCATGACATGCAGGTAAACTAGCCACTGCAGGTAAGCCTTTTCCACCCGAAGCCCAGCGAGACAGTGCTAGGATCATGGACATCACACGCCCAGCATAATGTACGAGGAACAGCACATGCAGCGCGCATGTGGTAGGCTGTGCAAACCTATAGCTCCGGTCATATCCCCTGTCTTTTGTAATCGTACGGCACATATCCTAGCACATAATCGCCACGAGCGAGGCTAGCTATTGCATATAAAGGGGCTTCGAAGCTCTGTTGCCCAGCTCTAGCAACAAAAACAGAGTGCGCCAAAAGCCAGCTCATCCTAAGTCTGGCAGCCACACTCACCGGATCCATCAGGTATCACTTGTTGGCCTTCTTTTTCGGAGCTGCTTTCTCATCACCCTCAGAGTTTAGGGTTTAGGGTTTAAGGTTATAGGGTTTAGGGGTTTAGGGTTTAAGGTTATAGGGTTTAGGGGTTTTGAGTTTAGGGTTTAGGGTTTAAGGTTCTAGGGTTTAGGGATTTTGAGTTTAGGGTTAAGGCTTTAGGATGCGAAGCCCCTAAACCCTAAACCTAAACCCTAGACCTTTGATTTCAGCTTTAGGTTAAATTAAATGATTCGAAATTCGAATTCGAAATAAAAAAATCGACTAAGTCACCAAAGCTCAAAGACAACCTTGACCTGCTTCACAAAGGTGTTGTACCCCTCCAGCACTTTATCCAAGGTAGCGATCAACGGATTTAGCGTGGCTTCATCCTTCGGTCCTGTCAAGGTAGCATGCTGGAGCTGTTCGGTAGCCGCCTGCAAATCTGCCAAATGCTTTCCCATGTCTGCCGCATAGCCATCCTTCATAGCCTTTGAGATCCCGGTCTTATCATTCATGATCTTCTCCCAACATTTTGCATCCACCAGCTTCGATGAAGCATCACGAATCTTCGTATTTGCCTGCGTCAGCGCTGTGGCCTTTGTTGCACCTTTTTTGTTTGAAGCATTCGATGCAGCTTGTCGGAGGGATCGATCACGACCCTTCCCGGAACCCTTCCCTTTGTTCTGCCCACCCTTAGCCGCAGCATCCAATGGATTGACCGCCTGGCCCAGGTTCAGCGGCACAGCGGGTGCAGACAAGCCGGGGTTGAGCGTACCCGACTGCATCATAGCAGGCCTCAGTATTTTAGGTTTGGCGGGTTGTTGGGTGGGTAGGATTTTGAGGCTTCTAGTATATTTAAATTAGGGTTTCTGGGTCCGGGGTTCAGGGTTCTTCGATTCAATCAGCAGGTAGAAAGTTTAGACCTTAATTAGGGTTTAGGTTCAAGGTCGTCTTTTAAATAAAGACATTCTGCTATAGAGATCTAGCTTGATTATCATAAGCCCTTTATGTCGACAGGCCTAGCTATAGGTCGACTATAACCCAAAACACACCACTAGCAATATAGTTAATACATGTAAGATCAGGGAACATAATCTGGGCAGTCATGTCCCCATCCAGCTGGGCACCGGTGGCGAATGTAGTCGACTTTGTGTCCTTCGCCTTGTTCTGCACCACAAACTCATCAAACATCAAGAACAGCTCTTCATCCTGCAAGCCCAGAAGTCATAAGTATTAACTGCTCATGTCTTAGGGTTTAGGGTTTAGGGGGTAGGGTTTAGGGTATAGGGTTTATGAATATGACACCCAAAGCCTTACATAAAGCACTGCAGTAACAAGTCCTCCACTCCCCTAAAATCTGGATGCTCCATCCAATGGGGCATGTTCGGGTACTTGTCTCCCTGCTGCTCTTGCAGCATTTTCTTGTTGCGGACCAAAGACTCCGCTTGCAACTTTCCGTGCTTCTCCCGGATCTGCTTTTTCGAGAAGTAGCGCTCCTGTCCCTTGTATTGCGTGGTTGCCTTCCGTTTGGCCTCCAGGTAGATAGTAGATTCGACCCACTTTTCTCCGCATTTGACCCACTCTGCATAGAGACCATCCAAGACATCACGGTCTTAGCAGCAGTGATCATGATATAATGGTCATACCCTAAACCCTAAACCCTAACCCTATAGCTATAGCTATTAAATATTATTTGGAATCCGAACAAGCCGAGGCACTGCGATAGCGGTTGGCAGCAGCATCCAGAACACATTGCGGGCAATTCGGACCTGAGATGTGTTGTTGGCTTTGGGCTAGGCACTAAAGTCAGGCAACCATCACATCGATAATCTCAGACCCGTCACTCCTGAAGGACCTCTCCATCCTTGCTTTGGAAGCCTTCATAGCCAGCCGTTCTCTTTCAGCCTCTGCCTCAAGTAGTGCTGTAGCCTCATCAGTTGGCTGCTGCTGACTTTCTGCCTTGCTGCTCTCCTGTCAAACAAGCACATGAAGAGCTAGACTTGATGCAACCATAATACTAGCTAGGCTTCGAACATCAGGATAATACCAAGTTTTAGGGTTAAGGGTTCAAGGATTTAGGGTTTAGGTTTAGGGTTCAGAGGGTTTGGGGTTTACGGGTTGGAATAAGAAGTCCTGCAAGATCTCAGCGGTTCCCTGCGGTTCAAAGCACTCACCACAGCACCGACAGAAGAAGCAACAGGCACCTCAGCTGCGTCAATCAATCGATTCGATTTCCAGCTGCATAGCATTGGAAGAGAGCCTAATAACTCATGAGATATTGTTTAGCAGCACCTGGGCAGGGACAGGGATGACAGGGATGCTTGCGCCAGTCTTGACATCAGGATTGCGAGACACTGAAATGCCACAGCCCTTCTCTGCAGTCATGTTCTGCTGTCTGTCCACACCATTAATCGTCTGAGCAGGCACACCCTTCTCTGCGGTCATGTTCTGCTGTCTGTCCACACCATTAATCGTTTGAGCAGGCACACCACCCTTCTCTGCGGTCGCGCTTTGCTGTCTGTCCACACCATTCATCTGAGCCGGCACACCACCCTTCTCTGCGGTCGTGTTCTGCTCTCTGTTCACACCGGTCTCTGCCGGCTTGGGCTCCACCTGATTACGGGTTTAGGGTTTAGGCTGGGGTTGTGGGTTTAGGGTTTAAGGTTTACGGTGTTAGGAGCCTCAGCCTTGGGTGGTTGTGGAGATTTCATCAGCATAGCCAGCTCAGCATGGAAGGCCTGCTCATCGAAGCTATCCTTAGAATGTTGGGACCACAGATATAACCTAATTCGACCCTAAACCCTTAATCCCTAATCCACTCTTAATTAGATCCTAGTGTTCATCCAAGGCACATCCGGCTGCCGATCTGAGCTGATGCCACGGCCGAGCTGATCATTCTCATCGTGCACCTACCAGCATACGTGACCTATTCATTTGAAGGTGTTAAGGTTAGTTTTTTTTGGTCGAGGGATCCGAAGTTGCAAACTCCACCTCGGCTGGCTTCGGGATGAGGGGTGTGGAGACATTCGGGGAGTACAGCACAAGCTGCAGCTTCTGAGCTGGTCCTCCAGCTGCAGCATCAGCACCCTGACAGTTCCAAGTAACATAAAGAATAAGTAAAAATTTCAGGTTGGACTGTTTGGGTTAGGGTTTTGGGTTTAGGTTTTAATTAAGTACTTATATTATTACGTTATTATACTTAACTCTAAACCCTAAACCCTATATATATATACATATATATATATATACTGTTAACAATTGTATATGTACTTGTACAGTAGTCAGACTGAAGGCCCCACCAGAGTAATCCGAAACCATAAATTAAAAAGTAGAATCCCCACCATCGGTTCTACGAGGAGACTCACCCTGAAATTCACACTATCCCAAACCATTCTATAATTTATAATAACCCCCGTTTCTAATATGATACCTGGCCTCAGGCTCATGAACATCTTTTGCAGCATCACCCTTCTGCGGTGTTGCAGATCCCCGAACACGTTCCTTTAAGTCCTGCGGCGCTTCTGGAGCCATGCCAGCATTCATCCTGGCCTGCACAACCTTAATCGCTTCCATCTGAGTAGCCTCAAGCTCGGTCCAGTGGGCCAGTTTTTCACTGAACATAGGAGCCCATGCCGAATCAGGCACCCTTCGGAACAACGCAAGCACGTGCTCTGCGGCGGAATGCATTGCGACCTGGGCCGCATTGTCCTTCTCCTCAGCCTCATGCCTGAAGCGATCCTTCTCAGCTTCTACCCACTTCTCGGTGAGTATGATCTTCTTGTTTGCAATGGCATCTGTAGTCCCATACGACTTTTTAATGTTATCGATCATGTATTGGCCTGTCGACGCTGCCTTTGCAATGCTTGTGAAGAGTTCACTCTTGAGGTGGCGTGCTTCATGCATGAGACACATAGCCTGATCCATTGCAGTCCTAGTGCAGAGGATGTGTTGTTTGACCACAGGTTTGGTTCCTTCCTCCACTATACTTGCCACAGCTTCGCTCGGGAAATCGAACTTCAGCCAATCCTTCAGAGCCCGCAACCCCAAACTGCAGCTAGCATCATCAGACAAACCAGCAGACTCGGACTCATCGAAGAGGAAAGCTTGCATAGCCTGGACGGTGGCTCTGTTCCAGAACATAGCAATGCTCACAACATTCTTCGCGCGGTTTGGGGACTCTGTTGTAGACCACGTCAGAGTCGTCATGGAGTCGAGGGCATGAATAGTAGGGTCTGCTTCACCTGAATGCTGGGCTTAGGGTCTAGGGAGGTTTAGGGTGCAGGTTTCGGGGTTGGGGTTTAGAGTTAAGTTCAGGTCTTCAAATTTCGAAGTTAAGATTTCGGGGGTTTGTATTACAATCGACACTCGAAGTATACCTATAGCTAGTACTGTACTAATATGTATATATATATAAAAGTATATATATATACTTATATATATATATATATTATAATATATAAACATAGAATACCAATAAATTCCAATATATTATATAGAGTACACCTCAATATAACATGTTTGACTTCTAACCAAGATACTCTTCTGAACAGCAGGAGCATCATCAGACATTCTCTGCCGTTTCACATAACGAGGCGGACTGGACACAGGTTGACTGTCTGGCAAGGTCTCCGTGAGCTGGGTAGCATCGGGTTGGCTGAGACCCCCATGGTCAGGACTTGTGTGCATGGAAGACACAGACACAGCATCGAAAATGGAACGAGTAGGCTGTGACCTCAGCACCGGTACCGATGACTTGGCCTGTGGCATCTCGGTCGGGCTCTCTCGGGAATCTGGCATCTTGGTGGCTGGCTCCCCTGTGCCCTTGCCCTGGCTCACTCGGGAATCTGGCATCTTGGTGGCTGGCTTCCCTGTGCCCTTGCACATCTCGCTGGGGCTCTCTTGGGAATCTGGGGTCTTGGAGGCTGGCTTCCCTGTGCCCTTGCACATCTCGGGGGGGCTCTCTTGGGAATCTGCGGTCTTGGTGGCTGGCTTCCCTTTGCTTTCACACATCTCGGCAGGGCTCTCTTAGGGCTCTCTTGGGAATCTGCACCTTTGGTGGCTGGCTTCCCTTTGGCCTTGCAACTCGCCTTCGGCACACCGGATTCGGCTGGCTTCTGCAGCCTTGTAGCACCACCTGGGCTGGGAGTCAGATGTATAGAGAATCGAATCTAGTCGGAATGGCACTAAAGAGTAAACCAGTTAAATAAACAAAAAATAAATTCTATTGTATAATATATATATATACATATGATATCAATATAATATATAATGACTACAATATTATATATATATAATATATATATATATTATTGATTACATAGAATATAGATCATGATTTTCTAGACTAGACTTAGTCGAACTATATTAATTATCATCTTATCATTAAACGTGTTAATGTTTAGTTTCTTTCGGGGGCTTGTGATTTTAAACCAGGTTTTCCTTTCAAGGATGTGTTTTAGACTAGCATGCAACAGCAAAGCTACCGAGTCCTTCGTAAAAGTCGGGTGGCTCTTGAGTGGGATGCCAACAGTGGCTAAGGCTCTTGTGACTTCGTCATCCACATCGACTGGGGCACGGCTGGCACGGCTGCGGGAGCTGGCTCTCGATGTCTCCTGGGCAGCATATATGGATACTTGGGGTACAAGTAGACACTGGGACCGACGTTAGTGTACATCTTACATGCAGACCCAGTGTCAGAGATTGCAAAAGAGCCTCGTCGATCAACCTTCCCCGGCTGACTTGGTTCCGACCGCACGGACTCTGCTCCAGAACTCGCGAACGAGGCCTGTCGATCGTACGGCCCCGACCGAACCTGTCCCTTCTTTGAAGCCTTCGAGTTGGGAGCCATCGGTCCCCCACGGACCCCTAGCAGCTACGTAAAAGTGGCAGCCAAAATGGTCTACGTAGGCCAATTTGCAAATCACGGCGAATCACGGTTAATCACGCCTGAAACCTAGCTATTTATGGTTTTGGGGGCCCGAATCACGCCGAATCACGCTGAATCACGCTAGGCAAATTCCACTGGATTGGGCATCGACCGAAAACCCCAGCATTGAAGCCCTAATATAGACTATACCCAGAGCAAAACCTTCTCCAGGGAGGTTCTACGTAGCAACCCGACCCAAAACCCTACTATACCCAGAGCAAAACCATCTCCAGGGAGGTTTTACGTAGCTATGTATAGTGACCCAGACAGGTTCTACGTAGCAGACGGCTGTACGTGACACTTTGTCCCTGGAAGGTTTCACCATCGAGTTGCCGCGCCCTGGCTTCAAACGGTTACAGACAACATTCCCCGGCCCCCCCCTAGTTATTTCAGGGGACGGATCTAAATCTAGCTTTGGCCAAGCCTCCTTCATGCACAGGACCAGGCAGCTTGTGCTGTGTTGGAGTGCACGTGTGTGTGCACATATGTAGACATGCATGCTTGCATGCATATTAATAAGCTAGCAATTATATATGTGTGTGTACATATATATCATGTAATAAATAGTTGCAACACACACACACATACACCACATGATGTACATACATTGTGCCTGAAGACCTGTGCACCAACTACCGTCACTTTTAGTGTCCAACATATATATATATAATAAATGATGATGATCGATGATGATGATTATGATGCTGATGATGTTGGTGGTGATGATGATGATGACGGTGGTATTAATGATGCCATATCGATATAATTATTATACTATAGCTATATAGCTATATATTTATATGTATATATGTACAGATCTACACAATAGTTTCTTAAGCCAGCACAGCAGCAGCAATAAGAATAATACCAACAGATAACAGATAGGAACAATACCAATCGCAGCAGCAGAAGCAAACACCACCACCACCACCACCACCACAACAACAACAACAACAACAACAACCACAGCAACAGCAACAACGACACCAACAACTCCAACAACAACAACAACAACAGCAACAACAACAACAACAACATCAGCAACAACAACAACAACAACGACGTTTAACAGTTTAGCAACAACCCCACAGTCACAAGCACAACCACAGCAGACAGACAGCCAGACAGAGCTGCAGCAGCAACAGCTACAAGGACAGCTCTCACCTAAATGCTAAGTCCTCAGTAACACCCTCACCAACTCAAGCCAAAAAACTAGATCTGGACATCCCTTAACCCAAGTGCTGTGGAGGCATCCTCTTTGCAACGCCACATCGGCTGAGATCGAGGATCGCCGAAGATTCGGATTCCGAATTTTGTGTTCATCATTCCCGCTAGCAGTTCCCACCCTAGTGTCTACTTGAGCTAGTCACTGCAGATCTCTGAACACTTGTAGCACAGCTGCCTGGATTAGTTGCCCATCACCTATAATGACAGATTTGATTTGTGATTCCAGCCCAGGATGGAAGCTCATGATTTGTGTAATGCATCGGAAGCAAGCACATCAAGTACATCTAGCGGCTATCCCTTTAAAAGTTTGATCAGAGCCAGGGCTAGGGGCAAGTAATCACAGCAGCTAGCAAGCTACAAAATCGGGCGTGTTGAGAATGAAAGGCCGGGGCTTGGAACAAACTCACCGGCACGGGCAGCCCATTGTAGGAACTCACAGATAGGTTCCAGGTCAGCTTCGTCCCACTGCAGAGCTGGTGGCAGTGCAGGAACCTGCAAAGAAAACCCAATAAACTGTATTTGCACCGAAAATCCAGGTCCCCATGGAAAGCCCAATCCCAATTGGTCTAATAGCACCCATGCATCCAGGAGGCCACATGGGCACCGGAAATTATGCCATCGAGGATGGCGTGAAGATCGGGATCGGCATGGTCATCCTCCACAACCTGCAGCTGAGAAAGCTAGGGTATCGGGTATAGTACTAGTGAAAGCTAGTTATAATTAACTGGGTTTGTAGAGGAGTAGTCTTGTAGGCTTCGGGATCTAGAATTTTCTAGGTTTTAGGCGGTTTAGGGTGTTTAGGAGTTTTAGGGTTTAGGGTTTTTTTGTATATATATATATACAGAAAGACACAGAGAGAGAGAGAGAGAGAGAGTACATAGAATGTATCTTCTAGAATCTTGCTAATCACTGGGCCTACAGAGGTCACAGGTCTGGGCCAGGGCCTGTTGTTCGGAAAGTTTTGCGTTCATATTATGTTTACGGCTTCTGTTGTAGGACTCAGGTTTAGGGTTTCGTATCGTGGTATTTAGAGCTCTAAATTCAAAGGTGCAATAGGCTGCACAACCCAGGATTGGGGCTAGAATCGGCACACTCAGTGACACATGCACAGGTATCACCACACTAGTACTGTGTTATAGGATTTAAGACTCTGGGTGTCGGGCTTAGGGTGCGGAATTTATGAATAATTAGATTAGCTAGGATCTTTCGGGCTGACTTCGGGAGTGAGCCTACTGTATGGCAAAGACCAGTCCTCGGTCACTCGGTGGCGTGGTATGCAGCTCGGCTATACCACTTGTTCTAACATCCATACAGCACAATTATAGGGGTTTAGGGTTTAGGGTTAAGGGTTTAGGGTTGTACTATACCGCTAATGATAGGGTTTAGGGTTTAGGGTTTAGGGTTTAATTATAATACCGAAATTCAACTAAGGAAAGCTAAGCAGCTGCTCTGGCGTGAAGTCTCGCCACCTCGTTGCCGAACATGCGTGGATACGATTGCGATGACTTCATATCCTTTGCTCCCGTCCTTGGATTGAATTTTAAGTAAGGTCTCTCTAGTGCATTTTGCCAGCATTCAAACGACATCTAGATGTATACTCTAGGTCGGCTTATAATCATTAATTGCCTGCAAGGAACACCTGTTTCTTTCCGTCCTTCTCACCTCGTACCACCATCACCTTGTTGAGTTCCGTCGCCCTGTTTCTGATCTGCGCACGGATCTGCTTTGTGATGCGGTTTCGGAGGTCAGAAGCCCATGGCCTGAGAAAATATTGAGATCGGAATTAGCTAGAAAGTCTCTGTAGCACAGGCAGTGCCCTCGATGCTTGGTCCCCTGCACGTTGGTAAACCCTTTTGATGGCTTCGGAGACCAATGACCAAACAGCCCCATCCACCTAGGTGAACATAAATCCAGCCCAAAGCCAGAGTAAAAACACACTGCATGGCACACACACATACAC